TGAGGGATATGAATGCTATATTCCAGATGACGGGACCAAGCCATGAAAACACCAAAAAAAATTTTAAATACAATTTTGCTCTTTCCTCTGGCCTTGTAAGTTGTGATTTAATATTTAGAGTAACTTTGTAAGTTACTAGCATGAGCTTATCACTTACCTTTAACTGTATGGTATCTGTTTAAGTAGTGATCTGATGACTAAATTCACATGTGGGCACACAGAGTTAACAGTTTCTTGCCCTACACACATGCCCATCACTCCTCAGCAGAACAGCTGCAGAGCTGAAGGATCTGCCTGCTTGGGCTCTGGCCATGCTCAAGTTCCAGTAGTCTATCTTTGTCACCTCAAGCCTTGCTCCACACTGCCACATTGTGTTGTCTTGTGTGGCACTGCTCCTGGGAACATGTGATCCCCAGAAAGGAAACCAACAACAGAGCAAAGTCACAGTACCACCAGAAGCCAACTTGGTGAACAATGAATTTATCGAGTTTACTGAAAAAGAGGATGGATGATTCAAAGGCAGATACATCACAGAAAGCCCAACACAGCATGGAGATGCCCTCTACATAGCATCCGAGTAGTTCAGTGAATCACAGGTCTCCTCTCCTCAGCAGTCCTTAGTTTTTACATAATCTTTGGGGAAGGGGCCTTGGTTAGTGCTCAATTTCAGGGACTTCCAGAGACTGAGTTGTTTACTTCCTGAGTCTTAATCAGCTTCTTTCCGGGATGGAATTTCTACATAGCACTGGGGTCACTGGTGACTACTTTTCTCCCAGGGAAAGGGTCCCAGCTGCCCTGGCCACCATTACCTTCTCTCAGTGGGAGTGTCTCACAGAAATCATAAATGGAGATAGTGTTGGTAGGCCCCATCATCTTATTAGAACTGAGAAGGAAAAGTCAATGAATACAAAGGACAAAAGAAACAGCTTGAAGCAGCAAAGGAAAAGGATTTTCCAGATCTGAAGCTACATCAGACCAAACTTGCGTCGTCTCATCAAAGGCCCTCAGTATGACATAAAGAGGGTCAGTGTTCCACCTAGTAAACGTGTGGATGACCTTGGGCTGAGAATTCCGACAAGGTATTGAAGGAAAGAGAACCTGCACCACACAGATAGATGTCTCAGAGGTGCAGCAGAAGCCAGAAGGCTGGGCATCAGCAGGGAGGGAATTAAACAGCCTAGAATTCTGTGTGGACTAAATGAAAAGCATGTGTAAGAACAGAGGCCAAGAGAGTCCTGAGTTCAGATGGACAATGTTACTATGACTCTAAAAGCCTTTCTGAGAGGAGCACTGAAGATTTTATTCCCTAAAGAAAGAAAGTGCCCCAAATGGGAAGTCTGTTGTGTAAGTGGTGAAGAAAGTGGGAGAAAGTTGTCTCATAGGCATTGAATCTGCCCAACAAGACTAACGGCGTGCCCCTGACAAGTTAAGACAGAGCTCTAGTGTTTGCAGACCAGGGCCAGAAGAGGCTAGTGGAGTACAAGCATGCAAAGGCCCTCACAGTGGCTCAGAGGATGAAGATGCTGGCTGACTGGCTGTGATGACATAAGCATGCATCTATAGGGTGAGTGAGAGCTACAAGAATAGAAGAGTTGTCACCTTTAAGGTGACAGAAAGAAACGCTAAAAATAGAAACTTTATACTGGAGAGCTCAGGCTTGTTTTTAATGAGGGGACAGTAAGACGGCTCAGCAGGCAAAGGCACTCTGCTGTGGAGCCTGATGACTGGAGTTCAACCCCAGGACCTGCATGGAAGAAGAGGCCTGACTACCTCCATACTCAGCCATGATGTGCACATCCCCACAAACTAGATGCAGCAGTAATTTTTAAAATGGCAGGACAGAAAGAAAAGAGAAGAGAATACAGGCTAGACACAGCTGAATCGGTGTTGGTAATTACACAAATGGGTCTGGTCAGCTGTAAGGACAGCTTGTGAACACCTGTGTGTCATCACACTCTGGGTCTCATTCATAGGCACAGAAGGTGCTCTGACCTGCAGACAGGCAATGAGCCTGGGGGCTCCGTGCTCACAGGTCAATGAGAAACGGAGTTTCTAGGTGAGATGCCAGCTGCCAGCAGATGAGCATGTAATTGTTACCTGTCAGTGCTGCACCCCCTCTAACATGATTCTCCTATTGTCTAATAAACTTGTCAGCTTTGAAGACAGAGCCCAGTGCCTTACCTATGCTAGTTGAGTGCACTGCCACTAAGCCCCTAGATTTTCAAGAAGGATCTGTGGATGGCCTTGAATGAGCTCTCTCTCTTGCCTCAAATGACACTAGTGACTACTCTTTAATGGCCTCATTTACTACTAAATTGTTTGTCTTTCTTAGGCATCAGAGTCCTATACAGATGACCACAAGCTACTTGGCTTTGAATCCTGGGAACAAGACAGATATGACTTGATATGGGAAATCGTTCCAATGAAAATGGTGAAACGGGCATATCGGGTTGGAAAAATTAAATTTAGAAGCCTTTCTACATGATTACTAGAAATCTTAGCATTGCACATGTAGCTCCAACTGCATTCTTGTTACACAGTGGCATAGTGTAACTAACTCCTGGGTCTTTCAGAAGGTCCTCAAATCAATTGTAGTGTAACAAAAAGCTTGTAAAAGTATGTCATGTGCTGTTTTGCAATTTTTCCCAGTCTTTTTTCACATGATTCCCTTAACAGCAAATCTTTTTCATCTTGCTCAGAGAAACCAAATCTTTATAGCCTAATTGAAATCCAGGGAATGATTCTCTTTCCCAGCCCATGTGAAAGAGACTGACTTCTGGATCCATCAAACCCTGAAGCTGCACTATTACTGCCCACCTGAGCATCTCTGCTGTGTGCTTGTTCCTAAAAAACTCTAACTCGGACTAAAGCAGAGCACAGGGCTAGACGCTAGCAGGACAGAGCCATGGTGTCCAGGATCTAGGGCCCACACCTAAGCTGGACACCCAATGTGAAAATGTGATCTCTTCCCTATGGAACATCTTGGTTTATCTCCCCCTGTTTATCTTAAGCTGGGCAGCAAATGAAACGTGGGTATCACATTCGAGTACCTGGTCTGAAGAACCTGGTTACAGGTTTCTCTGTCTGGAAAGGATGGGCCCAGGAAGGCAACACTAGTTGAAGAGACATAATTATATTTATTAAGAACAAACAAGGTTAGGTGAGCTAATCTGGTAAAGTGTTTGTGAAAGACAAAACTCATGTATGATAGGAGAGTGCTCTTGTGTGCCTGTCAGGCCCACCTTCCATGAATACTGGTATAATAGTAAATACTGTGAAATTTCATTTTCTGTATTGATTATAAGATGCTGTGTGACGTGGTAACCATGCTGTTAAGTCATCAGTTTACATTTGAACTTCTGTCCAGAGGTAACTGTCAAGAATTCCCTACAATTATATTTTAAGTAACTAAGACCACAATTACTATGACATTTAAGCACCAGACCAATAGTGTCTATTTTTAATAAACATTCTAATTAAAAATAAGTCATGAAAGCTTACAGAAAAAAAAGTATATATAATCCCTTTGGGACTGGATGCCGTGTAGCTCAGGCTAGCCTCAAACTTTGATCCCTTGCCTCAAGTCTCCTGAATGCTGGGATTACAGGTGTGCACCATCATACCTCTTTACTATCTTAAACTCCACTAAAGTTTAAGGTGTATTTCTACTGAACAATATAGTACTTAGTAAGACTTAACTCAGCATCTTGAGGGAATGGCAGGCACAGTGTCAAATCTTTGTAACTGGAGAAGGTACAACTCAGAGAGATCAGAGAATCACAGCAGATCCATCCAGATGAATCAAGAAGCAGGCAGGCTGATGTATACTTAACCACAGTAGGTAAAGCTGGTGGGGAACTTGCCCAGGAACAAGTATGACTGCTGCATCCCATGAGCATGCCCCACCTTCCTAAGTGTGTGTAACTAGTTCTCACCAGTGTGTGTTCGAAGTGTTGGAGTCCTGTGGCTCCAGCAGCTCCTATTCATGCCATTAGGATGTGGCTGCATGCTCCGCCACAGTCAGCCAGTATCTAATGCCCAAGTCATTTGTCCTAAGACCAGTTGCTTTCCTGAATCTGTTTTATGTGTTTTTATAGTTATATATATTTATATAAAGCTTTATAAAACCCAAGTTTAAAGAACACTAGACTTAAGGTTAAAATTTCAGATGGCATGCATACGCTGCCTCTGTACTGACACTGCTAGTGTAGAATTTAACCTAAGTCCCACGGGGTCTGTTCTGTAGTGGGCATCTTAGTTATCCATCCTGATTATCCGTGCTTGGAGGAAGACTTCTAAAGTCATCAGGCAGCGACTGTTTCAAATTGTGACCTGAGAGCCTGATGAAAACAAGGCACAGATGAGCCTCCTTTGCTTTGGTTTCCTTTTCTGCTTGCATAAGAGTGTCTAGAGTCTGGAGTCACAGCTCCACAGGGAAGATGGCTGGTGAGTAACAGAAGAGCTAGCTCTAATCCACATGCCTGGTAGCAGTGCCAAGAGCTTACACACTGTGCTGTGTAAGTCTGCTAGGATTCTAATTCCCTCTTCTTGTCAGCTTTAATCCCAGATGCATTCTGTGCTAACTGCAGCAAAGCAAAAAGTGTCCTTTCTTGTTTACACTTCCCTAAACTCTCGAGCTGGAATCCTGTGAATTAGACCAACAAGAGGCAGATTAGCAAGATAAAGTATAAACACTTCATAAAGTCTCCTGTGACATGGGCAACTTCTTACAGAAATAAAGACCTGAGTCAACAGCTAAGCTCACTGATGGAAAGTCCCCAAAAAAGATGGTAAAAGGAGACAGCTGAGGATGGTGAGACAGACAGCTTGGCCTGGCCTGTTCTAGATTCCTCTCAGGAACCTGCCTTCAGAGATGAGGGCACTCCTGTTACATTACAGTGTGACCACGTAACAGCTTCCGGAGAGAAGGAAAGCCAAGTTCCTTCTTCAGGAATGACTGTCCCTCATTCAGAAGCTCCAGCCTATGGCTCTGTTCTCAGTTCACAGAAATCAGCCACCGAATCCTGTGCTCATACAACACCAACATAGATGAACTCTTCTCAGAGATTGACGTCTGCTTGGCGGTAAATCGTAGTATTCTTCAGCAGCTAGATGAAAGATGTGACCAGGAGATCACTGAGGAGGCCTGGGAGAAAATCCAAGCGCAGGTAGGCTTCAGAGCAGCTTCCTACTGCCCTCTGCAGAATGGATTGCAGTCGCAGCAGGTCTGGGAGCCTGAGTTCTGCTTGGATGGAGACACCCAGGCCTTTGGCATGAGCTCAGTCCTTCATTCTGAAATGTTAAAGCTCTAGCTCGATGGTGGGTGTTATGAACAATGAAAACCCAAAAGGGTAATCCTAATGCTTCCTGCCTTCCTCCTGCACTTGCAGGAGCCTATGAAGAAAAGCAGAGCTCTCTGTGCAACTCAAAGCCAAGACAGAGGGAAAACTTAAAATATTAAATTGGAGGCTAAAAAACAGCTTAAAACATAAAATTGGGAATGTTTTAAAACTTTAACAGTATCAGCCAAATGCTTAGCAATTTTTCACTTTTTGTTTTGTTGGTTTTTCTGTAACCCTGGATGTCCTGGAACTCACTCTGTAGATCAGCCTTGAACGTGAGATCCACCTGCCTCTGCCTCCCGAGTTTTGGGGTTAAAGGTGTGCACCACCATGCTTGGCACAATTTTCCACTTTTAATTAAAAGGCACTATATATGTTATATTATTAGTGCTCAGCAGTTTTAAAATATTTTGTTTAAAATTGCTTATAATCTACATCTCACATCTTGACATTTAAGGTTTTCAGTGGACTAATGTCTTGGGCTATAGTTCTCACTGCAGGTCTGAGTAACTGAGGGACGGGGAGGGGAGGTCACTCCTACAACAAAGCTGTGTGTGCTTCGTGCTGCAGGCTGCTCACCATGAGATCTACGAGTGCTCCATCTGCCTGACTCCACTCTCTTTCCATGGTGATGGCCGACAAGCAGCCGTCGGGACCAGCAGCCAGCGTCCTCGAGAGACCGTCCTCCTGTCCTGTGCACATCTGTTCCACAATGCCTGTCTCCTGGCCTTGGAGGAGTTTTCTTTAGGAGATAATGCCCCTTTCCATGTCTGTCCTCTCTGTCGCTCCTACTACCAAAAGAAAATTGTTGAATGCTGAATTCATGCCCAGGAAGTTAAATTTAAGACTAGAACAAGAAAGGGGTAAAGGCTACCTTGCTTTTGATGAGCTGCTTGGGTTCCGGTAGAGTACTACACTGCTGACTGTTGTTTGTGATTAGACAGAGGAAATACACATACCTATTTAGCTGTGGTCTTTATTACATAAAAAAACAGCTTGTGCGTTTGTTGAATTTAGTCACTTAAAATAAATGAGAAATAGTGTTACTTAAAATGAAGCACACTTATTCAATGCATAAGAACCTTCCTTTTATTTTTATATAATAGATGTGTATTATAGATAATACCTTTAACATGTTAACTGGAAAAAAAGTGGTATTTAACATCAAAACTAGGTAAGTCAAGTGTTAATGCTGGTGTCACAGATTGAAAGTCCCTGAAGCCCACAGAACTTTTTGGTGCCAGTGCCACACTCTAATTCCAGGCCCCACAAGTGCTCTAGTTCCTGTGGCTTATAATCAACTATATTTTTCCATATACTTTGAAACCACCTCTGAATTATAATGCCTAGTATAGTGTAAGTACTCTGTGAACAGTTGCTTTACTGTATTGCTTAGGAACTAAGAACAGGAAAAAGGAAAATGTGTGTAGGTGTAAGCACAGATTTAGTAGTTTTGTTAACCCTTTAAAGTCCATGTTGGAAACAGAGGCTGATGATGGGGCTAAGACTGGTGTACTCAGTAGCCAATGAGAAGCATTGTTCAAGTGGCTCTCACTACTGGAACAGATTAAAACCCATTCAATGACATTAGCGGTATGGGTACGGAGGCTGGGGCATCTATCCTACAAGACCTTTTAAGCTCCCTGGCTCTTTCTATCTCAAGGATTTAAGTTTCCTTTGCCTCAGCCTTTACCAGGGAATCTGCTCTCTTTGGAGGAAGAGCATGTTGAGATGCTGAGGCTGTGCTGGGAGGCAGTGCCCATGTGAGACAGTATCCAGCCTGGATGTGAATGCAGCAGAGAAGCAGGCAGCAAGCAAAGGTACATTCCAGGGTTCAGATCTGCTCCTTACACAATGTGAAAAGTATTTAAAATTATTTTTTTAATTTTAACCCTTTTAAAATGGTTTTCTTTTGCTGGTTTATAATATATACATTGATATATAATTTGTGAATTAGTATGTACATGTTATGCTCAAATTTTTCTTGATTAGATTTACTATTACAACATTTGGAAGCTAGTTTGGAGAATACTTAGTGGTGGAGACAGGCCGCATCTCAGAGAGCCACTTTCCCATTCAGGAGACTCAACTAAGAGGACAGTACAAACTCTTACCATTCCATCAGGTCTTTAGTCAGCTGTCCCATGGAAAGTAGCACTGATTGGAACACCTCATGCCAGTAAGAAGGTTAAGAGGACATTGAATGTGATGTCCCTCTCACTGCGGCTTCTTCCTCAGCACAATCTTACTGTAATGAACTGATCTCCCCTTAGCTTAGCTGAGACATCTGCTAAGATTAAGCCTTCTCCTCACTGCCCACTCCCATTCTTACCTTAATCATACTTAGGAAACTTGCATGTTCTGGGTTGTAGCAATTATGAAGTCTTTCTTTCTCCCCACATTGTGCACAGACATGAGTTCTTCCATACTTAGAAATCTTTATGGTTGCTGATCTATAGTACCTGACCCATCCCTAGGCACTCTGATTACTAACTCATGGACTGAATATGATACTGCCAAAGGAATGTATTTTCAGGGCATTTTGGTCCAGTAGTTGTTTATGTGAGCCAACAACAGGTGTTCTGAGGCTTCTACTCTCAGAGCAGAAAGAGCTCTAAAAACCCGTAGCGATCTAGGGTGGAGTCCAGCCTTACTGCACTTTGTAGGACTCTTTTTTTCCTCCTTTCAAAGTACTTTAGACAGCCACATCATTATAAAACTGCAATGTTACATAACCCTCTACCTATTAGCTATCCTTACCACTCAGGACATAGGTAATAATTTGAAAACAGGTTATAGGTTTTTTGCTACCTTTAGTTCCTATACAAGGCTCAGTGTTTGGCCCTGAAACTCCTGGGCCAAGGCTGATACCAACTTCTCAGGTCATAGCTACTGAGTTTACCCAGAACTGAACCTACCTCGAACTTTCTGAATCCTAAATAAGATTAATGGTTTGAACAGAGAAAGAGAAGAGCTTCAGGCAGTGTGTGGCAAGAACAGCACTCTAAGCTAGATGCTGCTATTGTTATTTTCAAGTTGTAAGTCCTTGCAAGATACATCCATAAAGTTGGTCTCCTTTTAGAATCACATCCTCTTAGATATCTGCTTATTGATCTACATTAAGTATTGACTGCACTTAAAGAATAAAGAAGGAGATTCCCCATGTTCCATAGACAGGCAAGCGAGGATGGTTGCTTGTGGGGTGGTGGGCTGTGAGAGGCAGCTGGGTACCTGGTCGACTGCAGGCCTTGAACCCCGGAGACACTAAAGGGATGGTAGCTGCTCGGCCTTGTTCCTGGGCCCTGGTTCTTTTCACTTAGCTTCAACCATCCACAACCCTTCCCAAAGAAAGGTTTGTGGCCTTCGGTGACATATCACAGGTAGAGTGTGTAACTACAGGCCACAGAGCCTCAAGACATCTCCATATTCATGATATACCTAAAGGCCAGAGGGCATAGCCAATTAAGCATCCCTTCCCAGACCCTCCTCCTACTTGAAAAAAGGTATTTAACCTCAGGCCCTCCCTGAGAACTGGGGGTACAGCTTCATCCACTTTCCACCATGACAATAAACCTTTTAAAACCATGGACTATCTCTAGTCTTTGGGGTCTACCATGGGGGACTAGAGAAGGTCTTCAACTACCAAGCTTTTGTCCAATCTCCCACCAAGGACCTCTCTACATTCCAGCTATGGAGCCTACCAACTCAAGCAGAGCTAGCCAAGCCAGCCAAGGCCCAGCCACGCGAGTCACCATGACCAAGAGTCGTATTTTCCCCGTGGGGTGCTGCCAGTGCTCATCTTTTCCCCCTCGCCACTTCTCAGTCCTTCTGAGGTCTCTCAGCGGTGCCTGGGAGCCCAAGGGTTTGAGACCAGCTGATCCCTGTCCACCTTCTTCCCCAGGGATCCCTAACCCAAGAGCTCCACCCCCAGGACCTCAGGCTGGGATCTCCCCACACCTGGAGTGGAGTTCTGTGTCTGCCTAGCACCATATGGAGTGAACTCAGTCGAATTCCCACACTTCTGTCCCCTCAGCCACAGTTCCAGCCGCCTGGAGCAGCAGATACATGGGACACACAACTCTGCCCAACAGGACCCACGCCCACTCGAGAGCTACAGCCCCACAGCTGCTCACATTCTAAGTCCCACCAACACAAGAGCATGGGGGACAGGAAATAAGTGTTCCTTCCTGACACAAAGGCAGCTCTGAACAAGAAGCTGCCTCCAAGAAGTAAGCCTCCAAGCTTTGTCTGCTGTCTGAGAACTTTTAACAGGCCAATGGAAGTCACTGGAACCCAGCAGGCCTGGCCTGACCTACCTCTTTACTCAAGAATGGGACAACCTCAAACACCTTTAGTTATCATGGCTGTGTTCCAAAGACATGAAATGGGGGTATGCATTTCCTATTTGACAGTTCAGAGCTGCCTTTGTGTCAGGAAGGAACACTTATTTCCTGTCCCCCATGCTCTTGCACACCAGCCTCACTTCACCATCTCAGAAGTAAGCTCACAATAAGCCATACAAGACAAAGTGACCCACATTGTAGCCTGAGCCAGTGCAGGTCTGTGAGAGAGGAAAGGCCAGACTCTTCAAACAGTTGACCTCTGGGCAACCTGGGGTCCCAGAAACATGGCCTGTGTCCTTTAAGTTTCTGGGTATAATACTGTAGGAACTTATGTCCTTGGTGCCAAGGTGTCATGTTTACAGCAAGACTTTGCACTATAGTTCTTGGGAGGAAAAAGACAATATTCAGGAAACTTTTGAGGCAACAAATTTTACCCAATTAATATTCAAGCCAACACTAACAATAAGAAGTGTAGTAATTCTTTCACACCACATTCATTATGTTTTCCAAATGGAAACTTATCTCCCATTTTTTACTAAGAGGTCAGTGTGGTATTTAAAAACGAAATAAACATCAGAAAGTGCCAACATGGGTCACAGGAAAAAATGCCACTGTTTTGTTAAGTTCTTATATGTGTTTTGGTGTGCATGTAAACTCGGTTACAGAGGACATTCATTTCTTCTTGTGGATTGAAGTGTGAAGCCACTGGTGTTCACAAGCTGTGCACACTTCGAGCAAATGAGCCAGTGTGAACAGCACTGTAGAATGTTGGATGAAGCTCAGTTCTTCTATGGAAGAAATCAGAAGCAAGTCTAATGAACTTGAATCATTAAATAATGTAAGATGCATGTGATCAACCTATTAACACTGCTTTTGGGTTGCAAAGAATGTATCATAAATCCACAACAGAAACTAAGTGAAAATATCTTTCTCTTCCTCTAATACCACTGTGCTCTAACACTGAACCAGAAGCAGCCTGTCAACACTCTTGAATGTTCATCGTGATAGAACTGAAGACTAGATATATGTTTATATGTGCAGGGACTTATAAGCCAAATATAAGATTTTTTTTCAGAACTTTAATTTCTAGTAATATTAAGTCACAATAAAAGTACCTCATAGGAACAAGACTAACAGAAAATTTAAAAACAATATGTAACAAAAATTTACCAGTGTGTCTAGACATGAAAAAAATCATGGCAGCTTAAGTTTAAAATCAGTGCTGCATATCTTCACATATTTAAAGACCCTATAGTCTTCTGCCTATATGCATTAAATACTATACCAACCACAAGCAAATACATAGACCAGAATAAATGGGAATCTGTGCTGCTGACTATAAGGACCGCCTGCTGTGCCCGGCCAGAGCAGAGGGGGAGACAAGTGCTGCGGCCACCATTGTGAGCAGAAGCCCAGAGCCCCATCGGTGATGAGAAGCAGAGCCAACAGGGCTCATTCTGATTCTCCACCAGCCCCAAAGAGGTATGAGTAAAGGAGCTAACTGTGTTTACAGACAACCTCACAGGGTCTCATATTTAGATCAGACCTTTTTTACATAAGATAGATAGATAGATAGATAGATAGATAGATAGATAGATAGATAGATTGATAGATAGATGATAGACAGATAGATAGATAGATAGATAGATAGATAGATAGATAGATAGATAGAGGGATAGATGGAGGGAGGGAGGGGGGAAGATATAGATGGATAGATAAATAGATCTAAAATATATGCTAGAAAATCTGTAAAAAAAAATGATGTTACAATGTATAAAATTTGTTATATCATCTCATCAAGATCTATAAAGTGCTTGGTGCCCTTTGTGTTTAAATTGTATTAATTATTCTTATGTGTAGGAGTTTGTTTCCTTCACTACATGCCTGCAGTGCACATGGAGGCCTGCAAAGTGTATTTAATCCCCAGGGGTGAGTCACTGATGGCTGTGAGCCACCATGTGATGCTGAGGACCAAATCTGAGTCCTCTGAAAGCAAGGCTAGTGCTCTTTAATGCGAGCCGTCTTTGTAGCCACTCCACCCCCAGCCCTCATGCCCTCATTTTGCTTTCATTTGCTTGCTTGCTTTTGAGAGACAGTTTCACTATGTAGCACTGGCTTACCTGGAACTCACTATATAAACTAGTCTGGCTTCAAATTCTTAGGGATCCTCCAGCCTCTGCCACTTGGGTGCTATACGGCAAACACCACTATGCCCAGCTTCATGCCCTTTTAAAGAGGATGTTCAACATAAGAGAGCAAAAGGACTACTTAACAGTCACTGGTGCAGCCTCATCTAGTCAAACATCGGGCACCCTGACTAGTGTGAACGGAGGCACTTGCTTGCAGAACTCTGTTCTCTCTGTAAAGCAGCACTGCAGTACAGGACTCCCGCACCCACCTGTCTTCCCGAACTCAGCATGCTGCCATCTACTCGGGAAGTTCTCTTTCAGCCAGCCTCCAGCAGGCCCAGTGAGTGACTGCACCTAGACCCAGTCCTCCCTCCAGGTAACTCTCAGGTGAGAGACCAGTGACCCTCAAAGGGTGGTAACCATGTAGCAGATCAACCACAGAGGGTCTGAGACTCAAGGTGGAGACAATCTTTAAAGCCCACTTTCCATCCCATCACCAAATATTTCAGTCAGTGTTTTAAAATTCATTATTGAGAACTTGCTTAGCAGATAAAGGTACCTGAATCACACGTGGTGAAAGGAAAGAGCTGACTCCTGAAAGCTGTCCTCAAATCTTTACTCATTAATGCTCCAGCCTGTGTCTGTCTGTCTCTCTCCATCCCTTCTCCAACACACACACACACACACACACACACACACACACTTTAAGAAAATTAGTGACAGACATTGAAAAGTTCAGCATTTTATGAAAGTTTCGAACACCTTACCTTACAGAGCTCTGGTTGGTTGTGTTGGCAAGTAGACTGCACTGTAAGTGACACAGCAGAAAGCTGCTCTGACCTCTCCTTGGCTTGGTCTGCTCAGAGCCCGGCATTAATGATCAGGTAAATCTGAAACAGTCAGCTCACACTGTGCTAGAGCAGGAGCTCCCCCTTAGGAGTCCACCAGTCCTCACTGGAGGCGTGCACTGACTCACTCAGCCGCAGCACCAATACTCCTCTTCCTTAACGCTAACCTGGGTATCGGGGAATGCCATGGTGTAAGCAAAGATGTGGTGTAAGCAAAGATGTGACTTATAAACACAGAGCTAAGTCTTGTTTGTCTAAGTAAAAAAAAAAAAAAAAAAGAAGAAAATGTCAGATACTTCCTTTCATATATTTCTCCAAAAGAAGCTAAATTCAACAATTTGAGAAAAAGATGCTTTACTTCTTTTTTCTGAACACAAACCCTGTTTTGTCACCCACACAGTGCATGTGGGCATCACTCTGTTTCTGTGAAGTGTGCAGCACTGCCTAGGAACAACAGCAGCGTGCACTCCTTTGTTTTACTCAGCAGACTCACTAAACAACTGAATGGCTATGAGCTCATATTACAGTGCGCCCACCCTTCCGAGGAGAACCTGGCCTTTACGTTCTAGATATCACACTGGTAACCTTCCTGAGGTGGGGACTTCAGGTGGTGTATATGAAAGTCACCGAACCCCGTGGGGACATGAAAAAGAAACAATTTCTGTCTTTGAGTTTCACAGGCACAACAAGCACAGAGTAGAGTAGTTTTTGAAAAAAGGTTTTAAAAAGTGAATATACATACAGCCTATAAGGCAAAGTCTAAGTTACATGTGTGCACAACACTGGTTCTGTGCTGTGAAAAGTATATCAGGTGCACACACACAGTGTCCAAATCTACAACCACATGTGCTTCATACTGCAGCTTACCACAAAAACATAGTCCTGGGGCTGCCCACCAAGGCTCAGATGTGAAAAGAATCTAGTATTTTCCACTGGCTCGAAGTCTAATGATTCTGTAACATGAATCAGAAAAACTGCTTTTGGTTTTTTTTTTTGTAAGGAAATAAAAAAATGGTAGTTTGTTACTAGTAGTACAGCAGTTTCCAGGACCTTCTCAGATGCTTTGGGGTACCAGATGACTTTCAAGCAAGCCTCTGCCTGCAGAACCAAACTTCTCAAGGTATAGAGCAAAGCATAAGAATGTCCAAGTCTTCACCTCTCATCCAGATGGCTGTAGACACACAGCTTTTCCTTAGTCTCTAAGACTCAGGGTTAACCAAAAGCTACAAGGTCAATCAGAAAACTCAAGGAGACAGACGAGCAGTGCCAAGCTGTCAGTGCTTATGAGAAGGGGGCACTGACAGGTGGGCCCCAACCCACCAGAGCGAACAGCGTCTACGGGAATGTCGTGAATCAGGAGTTGTCAGGATTTGCTGTAGAGTGCTACCGAGGCCGTCTCACAGTGCTTTCTGATGCCCGTTTGCAGAAGGCTTGGTAGTTTCTGAATCCCTTGAGGTATCTGACAAGTGAAGTTTGTGAAGTCCTGTAAAAAAAAAAAAAAGGATAAAGGTGAGAAAGGAGCATTGCTAAGGAACAGGGAGGCTTAGCAGAAGACAGGTTTCCAGTGTAGGCTGCAATGCTGGAGATCAAACCAAGGACCTTATATTCAGTAGGCAAGCATGCCACCACTGAGACACATGGCTGACCCAGGAACTACATTTTTAAGATGTAAGTAGGTTCACTTCTTAAATTTGGGTATGGCACAGGACTGATAAAACTGCAACAAGGCCACCTGTAGACCTAAACAGTCCGCTTCGGTCAACATCACTGCTGTTGCTACTGTGCAGCAGATGGCCTTTGTTAGGAATGGAATTGGTTGTTAAAATCAGACTTAACTCCTTGGGCCATTTGAACATATATTTAAAAAGGATCTTTTCTATACAGAGAATTGTCCATAAGTAATATACAAGAAGATAATAGGAAATATTTGAAAAGGAAAATAAACACATCTCTTGAATTTCACTCAACTCTTGAAAACTGCACTGTCTGATGGTCAGACTGGTGACATGATACACAGGGACTCTGGCCTCTGGCACGTTGACTTATAACTTTAACAGAAGCTACAGAGCAAAATGCCAACACTGGTACACTGCAGCCATCTTAGTTATAGCCACGCTGGAACTGATCTGAGACCCTAGCTAGAAATGATGTCTCAACTAAAGTCGTGACTGAGGGTTTCTTGGTTCTAAGGTACCTGCCTGTTTTCAATGTGGCTGATACTGTAACACTAAAATTCATAAGTTATCTGGTGTTTCCCTTGAAATGAGACACAGCTTTTCATTCCAGGGCAATATTTCAATCAGCTATCCTCTCAGAGTGCATGTTACAAATAAAATACACATGGAGCAGTAACCTGGTATCTTTTTCTTCAAAGGTCATCCTTTCAAACACCAAGGTCATAAGGTTGGTGCTATGAGAAGCTTTATTGCTGTGCCTATAGTTTAAGCTTTCTGAAATTGGGGCCTTAATGGACCCATCAATATGTTGCCTCTTGAAATAGCTAAAACCACAACCCATACGGGGCATAAGCATTCAAGTGGGGTCTGGCAAATGAGCTAATGCTAGGGTTTCCTACAGGAGACCATCGCCTTTCTTTACTGCTACGGAGTAAATGCTGCAAGTCTGGGAAGCTTCTGGAGCATTGCTCACTCTAAAGTGCAAGCCCTGGACTGTGTTCAGCATGTGTGTAGGAATAACGCAGCACAGACACATCACTTGGAGCAGGCTCTGACACCACCCCAATACAAATGGCTGAGACATGATAGCAAACACCCTATCCTGTCTATTCCAAGAATGATAACACTGTTTTCCAGAGTTATTTGGCTTACTGGAGAGAATTATAGGTTGCTTGTTCACTTAGAAAATCCAGTCCTCCTAAAACGTCAAGTAAAAAAGAAAAAATTGTGATCCTTAAAAAAAAAATAGTAAAAGGCATCATTACAAAAACCAAAGCTTCCACATCAAGTCCGTCTCATCACTATCATAAGAACCAAGGGCTGATTGTCATTCTCAAGTTCTTATGATGTCCTCTGCCCTGTTCTGAGACCTCATAAAAACAACCACAGTTCCTCCTCACACACCTTATAGATGAGGCCCTGCAGCACAGTGATCTGATAATTCTGATCCAGTCACACCAACACACAAGTCAAGAATGGGACTGACAGCCATGCAGACTTAGAAACTAAATAGACACAAATATCAAAATCATGATTAGTAGGAAAAAATGTTCATAAATCTCAAGATTACCTAGGGCCTTGAAAAGTTCTTCTCGTACAGCTGATGTGAATTTTCTGATCAAACACAATGTTGTCACGATGGCAAAGAGTAAATTGTAGGATAATACAATATAGAAATTTCCCAACCAATTAAATCTTCCAAAGTCTCCAAGTAGATCGAATCTAGTGATTCCTGTTAAAAAATTAAGAGGTCTTAATAAAGTGGGGTGTGTCCATACCTGTAACAAACGCAATTGGAATTAGGCCAGACTCAGACTGACTCAGAGGTTTGTTTGTGGGAAGACTCTGCCATGAAGCATACAACTGCTTCCTAGCAGGGCAACCCAAGCCAACCCTGACCTTGACATTCCAGTCACTTGCATGTGATACACAGGAGACTGGCATGAGCACCCATCACCTTTTAGGACTCATGTCTACATTAAAGAGCAAGCTTGGGTGCCACTCACTAGAGCCTGTTATTCTCCACTAGTTACATAATGCGATGTCTATTCCACTTGTACAACTCCTTTCCAGTGGCAACACTTTACACACTCTCAATCCTCATCACATAACTGAATAAACAAGACCACTTCCTTCCACTATACTACACATTTATAAAATAAGAGTGGGAAGCGGGGAATGTGTGATGATTGCATCATACACGGATTTTAAGTTACTTAAATTCACTCACATATAAGAGTCCTTTTTTAACTGAAAGAATATTTAAATTTATTCCCTGAGTATGTGTCCCTGGGCATGAATGGTAGGATTTTCTGACTATAGGTGGGTAAATAAATCCTACAAGTCATGTGGCTGAGTGGAGTGAGGAAAGGAGGGTGTGGTAGAGTCTTGAGGAAGACACTGAAGGGCTACACGGGGCTATATAACAAAGAGTTACAAGATGCAATAGATGCTTCCTATGGAATTGTACAAACAAAGCTATGTACTGCATATGCTATAGACCATTTAAGGATTTTATGGGTGATTTCAAAAATAACTTTGACTCAATATCACATCATCAACTGACTTTGGAATTTGGCTTTCAGCCGTGATCCAACACAATTCTATCAAACACTATTGGGAGCCTCCCAGAGAAGCTTACAGGCAGCAGAAATCTTCCTATGCAAACAGTGCAGTATGAACAGGGAATTTCAAATTTAGCTCCATAGTCACTTTCACCTGGAACCAATGCATGTAAGTTTGAAAGACATTGGCAAAGTGTTTTAAAAATAGGTGAAGACTGGGAGTCATGGGAGGGACCCATGACTCCAGCTGTCTATGTAGGGAAGGATGGCCTTGTCGGGCAAAGGTGGGAGAGGAGATTCTTGAAGGCTGGACACTGAGTATGGGGGAATTCGAGGGTGGGGAGGTAGGAGTGGGGGGATAGGTAGGGGCACATCCTCATAGAAGCAAGAGAAGGAGGGACCGGGATAGGGGGTTCCTAGGTGTGTGTGGGGGGGGAGTGGGGTAAGGGGATAACATCTGAAATGTAAATATAATATCCAATAAAAAAATATGTGATTAATGAAGACATTATATAACACCTTACAAAAAAGTTTAATACCCAGATACCAGAAAAGCCTTTAGTGCCTGCCCTGTATTACTGTAAAATGATGACAACTTGGCCTTCAGTCTTTCAGTGCTAAGCCTAAAAGAAAGGGCTTTGTTAAATGGAATGGATACCTTATCAGATACTTTACTTTTCAAACCGGAAGATTTAACTGATGTTAGTAGCTATATAAACAGTTATGGTCCTACCAACACAAACCTCAAGGCTTCACTGAGACCCTCATACTAGCAACTCAATTGATCCAAAGATCTCCATATGAGGCCAGCAAAAGCTACAGTTATCCCATGAGAAAGGTACACTCAAGCTTCTGCATCTATAAGGCTCCCAAAGGAGAAGCTGAGTGTGCCCTGGATGATGTCCACTACTATGGGTAGGAGCAAAAAGAGCAGGCTGATATGTATTTAACACATGGATCATGTGTTCACGTGTGTATTTGATTATCCATTACTATATGTACCACTGGCATTCCATATGGATAAAATCATCTTAACGGTGATACAAACACAAGGTCCATATTCTCTTCTCGTTAATCAATCTGTGTGGGTATACAAACACCCCTGTTGTATGCCCATAGATAGCTTTGCACTGTCAACAAAAAAGCAGAGTTGGGGGGTCAAATCAGTTGCACTGAACATAGAAGTCCTAGAACAGTGAGAGCAGTGGTCATAGACCCTAGAAATAGACTCCACTGAACATACCAGGATATTTAGGCAAAAAGCAGTCTCTTACTTAAAAGCTTTGTTCCAGGCAGACATATAAAGAACCCCAAGAGGATAAAAAATGCTAGTTCACAGGGAAGATACTATTGCTTCATTTGCACTTTAGAAAAAACCTGACTGCTCTTGACCAACTAAAAGATTATTCTGGGTACCATATATAACTCTTTACTTAGAAGCAAAATACCAATCATTTCTCTGAAATTCTGGCTAGGTGCCTGTTGTCCCACCAAAAATTAAATAAAAACGTCTTTTTCAATTTGAAATTATTGACACTTAAGAAAAAGTAATAGTACTGATGTAAAGCTTATTATATAAATGTTCAATACTTCCAGACTTCTGGACAAAGATAGCATGGTATTAAGACAGTGAGTTTTAAAATCCAACAAGGTTAAACTTTGGTCAAATATTTTCACCCATCCCTTCACTATTAAAAGGGAAGCAATACACACACACACACACACACACACACACACACACACACAAAGTAGCTTCACCAGATAGCAGTGAGGCACAGGGTCATGTGACCTCAGTAGACCACTTCATGACAAGCAATGCACTGCCTCTCCCACAAGAACTCAACTGAGAATGTTTCATGAGTAATTCCTTCAAAAACAATCTTTTTTCTATTCTCATGTTTAAAAGAACTGGTGCACAGAATACAATCAGCTCTAAGGAGCATGCTGCTCCACCCACAGTGTGAGTCAACAGAACTCATGTTCTTTAGCCCACCTGAGTCAACGTCTACTCTGAACAAGCGTGTTCCTGTTGGCGGAGCTGCATCAGGCCATTCGGAGCCTTTGTAAAGGGTGGGACACAAAAGGCCTGAGAGTGATGTTATCCGTAAATTACACAACTTGGCCTAGTACACAAACATCTGACCCAAAACACCTATGATTTTAATGTAAAGGTGTCAAAACAACACGTGTGTTCTTATCAAATTTATTAATAAAATTATCTTAAAAATTAATCTCTAAACTCAAATAATGATTAGCTTCAACGCCATCTTTTGCTATCTTTAAGTTTTTCAGTTCCTGTAGTGTCTAACCAGCTCTTAATCCTATCAAGAATGCTTCTCCCGTTTACACTGTACTTTCCTTTATACGTCAACTTCGGCTTTTAAAACTGTGTACATGTTTAGTAAGTTCAGTCTCTTTCTCTAGCTTCTGCACTCTAGGAAAGGCTGTGGCCACTGGAAACAGTCATTTCTGGGTTTCCTGCTCAGTTCTTTGCTGGGCCTCACCCTAAGCTGTTCTCATGCTGAATGCCGAGTCCCTTCTTGGGACACAAAGCAGAACAAGGCAGTAACAGTGTAAATGAACTAAACTGACTCCAAGTGGCTGATGATACACTCACTCTCCAGAGTCCCTGGAAAAGAGCTGCAGAGATGCTTGGCCACTGAAGTTCTTGCTATGTAAGTATAATAACCTAAGTTCAATTCCCAAAATCTATGAAAACCAAACATCAATCCCTAGCTGCTGCTGGCCACCCAGCCAGACTATTCTATTCAGGTGAGTTTACAGCCTATTACCAACCCTGTCAGGAAAAAATCAAGGTAGACAGAGCCTGATGGCACATGAAATTTCCACACACACACATACACACACACACACACATACACACACACCACACAAATGCATACGTACCACACATATCGGACATACACATATACACACAAGGACACACACACACACACTGTCCCTACAAGATTAAAAGGATAAATTCCTTGAAAAAATATTGGCTCAAGGATTATTAACTAGAAATAGACCAAATTTGATGACACATATGAATAACGAACACAAAATAGGATCCTGCCTAAGCACACATTAGTCAGACTGCTGAGCTTTCCACAAGGAAAAAAAAAAAAAAAACACAGAAGTGATGACCAGAGAAAATTTTCTGTCAAAGTTTGCGATGCAAAGGGGAAGCGATGCAAGACTAATATGAAAGTTTAAGAGAAAATAATCTAAACTCTTATGTCTACAAATATCTTCCAAAATAAAGAAAAATAAAGCTACCTTAGACATCCAAACAGCATGGGATTTATTAGCAGCAGACATGCATTCCAAGAATGTTACGCAAGGTCTCAAGCTAGACCACAGAGCTGTGGTAAGAAAAACAGCATGGCACTGGCACAGAAACATTGCAGCACACGCGCCATTGATATAGAAGACACAGAAGGAAGCCACAGCCTCCGACTCTTGACAAAGGAACAAAAAGTACTAGAAAAAGACAGCCTTGTTAACAAGTGGTGCCAGAAAGCCTGGGTGTCTACACTAAGAACCAAAACTAGATCCTGGCTCCTTTGTACAAAACTCAACTCAGAATAGATTAAAAACTACAGTGTACACTTTGAAACAGTGTACAGTGTACAGTGTACACTTTGAAACTACTAAACTAGAGGTTTAGAAAAAAAACAAAAAAACCTCAAAAAATGAATTACAAAGAACAGGCACAGGATTTCTGGACAGGAACCCACAGCTCAAGAAGGCAACAGCAAGAAGAGACAAATGGGACTGTGTCAGACTAGCAATCTGTATGATGACAAAGACAGAATGAAAGAGCCTACAGAAAAGGAGACAATCTGTGGCATCTATTCATCTAACAGGAGGTTAATACATAGAATATTTTTAACAAAAAATTAAACACCAAATGAGCAAATAATTCAATGAACTGAACAGTTCTCAAAATAAAATTTTTAAATGGCTAATAAATACATATAAAAAAACCGAACATTTACCCATGAAAATGCCACTAAGATTCTATCTTACCCCAGTCAGAACTGCTTTTTATCAAAGAAACAAAAAAAAGCAGCAAATTCTGATGAAGATGGGGGTTGGGCTGGGAAGGAAACCCATTCATTGCTGGTTGGAATGTGAGCTGTTGTAGCCACTATGGAAATCAGGA